AAGTTTATCAGGGGTGACCACCAGTATCTGGGGGAACATTTGTGCACCAGAGTGCCCCAAGGGATGACGACTAGGTCGAATGGTCATAAACTACTACAAGACCATTTCAGGCTGGACATAAGGAAGAATTTCTTTACTGTCCGAGCCCCCAAGGTCTGGAACAGCCTGCCACCGGAGGTGGTTCAAGCGCCTACATTGAACACCTTCAAGAGCAAACTGGATGCTTATTTTGCTGGGATCCTATGACCCCAGCTGACTTCCTGCCCTTTGGGCAGGGGGCTGGACTTGATGATCTTCTGAGGTCCCTTCCAGCCCTAATGTCTATGAAATCTATGAAATAAAGGCAAGATGATATTTTCTATTTGCCTATAGCTAAACACACCACATACAATCACCCTTCTCTTTCAGTGCTTGTGCTGCTGCTTTTTGCGTGGACAGTCCCATGAACTGGAATCTCCAACTGCTTCCTTTCTGCAGGTTCCTTCTCCCTTGGCCCTCGGCTTCCTCTCCTGCAAACAGCCCCAGCTTTGGATCTTTTTGCCCTTTCTCGTGTCCGACTGGTGTCTGAGAGCTTTACCATCTGGAATTTCCCGCATGGTAGTAAGAATCCCATCCTCTTCAGGAGCTTCTGCATGGCTTAACAATGTAACTTTTGGGAGATCTATAGCATTTGTGGAGGGGTTTGGGAGTAAAGACGCACTTCGTGAGTTGAAGGAGGGCTGGAGACAAGCCTGGATAATGCCTAATCAATCATCAGTGGCTTGCTGAGAAACAGTAGCTGCAGATTCCAACACTCGCTTGGTTGGCGGGAGCTAAATCTGGGTCTTTGGTTCCCTGGGCTAGTGCTCAAATCACAAGGCTTTTGAACTGAAACATGGAAGGGTCCTTCTCCATTTTACTTCCCTAAAGTATGGGCAACATGGAATCCATTTTACTTCCCACATCAGGTCAACATGGAATCCCAAACTCTGTGTAAGTGCCCCAAACTGAAAAGTTATGTGGCCGCGCATGGACCAATTAAGCATGCATAGTGAAATAGGATTCTGCCCTTAGGTTCAGTATTCAGCAGATGCGAGCCCTGGAACCAACCTAGCTCTGGGGGAAAACAAAAACACACTTCTACTGCCAGCCTAGATGAAGGGTAAAGTGTAAAGAGTAATAAATTGGGAGGACAGTGACTTTTCTCCCAGTTCAGGTGGGTGCCTGTCCTTGATGTGAGGCCCTTAAAATCTTATTGGCTTTTTAAAATCTTATGGGATGTTATGGAAAACTTTAGCAATCTTCAGCTTCTAAAGTGCTGGCCTTTACTTTTGCTTTTAGCATAGAGGGGTAGATAGTCAATTTTAAAACAGGAGGAAACAGAGATAATTTGAGGAGGCTCCATACAGCCTTTTACTTCTGTTATTTAACGTAGGAGAACACTGCATTGTTATCGATATGTTAAATTAATTTTTCTGCCCCACTCCCCCATGAGAAAAGACACCCAGGAGAACAAAGGCTGCTGCTGAAAAGCTGCTTTATTATAAAGGCAAGATGATATTTTCTATCTGCCCTTGGATAAAACACACCACATGCAATGTTCTCATTTCTGGCAAAAACAAATCTTTGCATCTAGTCGCTGTTCTCTCTCTCTGGGCTGCAGACAGCATGCTGGTTTTGTGTTTGCAGCAGCAGGAAGTGTTGCTCAGAGCTAAAAGTCTCTCCTACAGCTCAGTCACTTGCACGAGGAATTGTGTGTGAGGTTAGCAGCTCAGGAAACACAACTCTTTATCCTTCAGGCAACATCTTAATCTGGCAGGTGCTGGGATCTCTCTTTGGCTGGTGCTTGTGTGTCTCCCTCCTCTCTTCCAGCCCGGCACCCAGGAGAGAGGGAGGGGTGCTCTTCTATGTAGACTTGGGCTTGGTGGGGGTGGTGGAGTGTTTGGCCACCTCCCTCGGCATCACCTGCACCAGGGCAGCATGCACCTCCGAGGAGCGGATGCCGGGGAGCTGTTTCTTCTTCCTCAGGTCTTCAGCTGTGATGGAGACCTGGCTGTAGAGACTAGCCATGGAAGGCTCAACAGCTTCACCACGGGCTTGTGCTTCGCTGGGTGGCCCGGCTGGGGCAGGAGTCTCTTCTTGGGAGCAGCCTGTGGCTTATTCTTCTGGGGCTTCAGTCTCCTCAGTAGCTGGACCATCTTTTGTGCCTGGGCGGAAACCATGGCTGCACTCAGCTTAGCTCCCTGCCAGTAAGTGCCAGCTGCCTGTCCCTTGTCCTGGCCAGATAAAGGAGCTGGCATGCAAATGAGGAGCTTGCTATGTGCCTGCTGATTGGGCAGCTGGGCTGTCACTCCAGGCAACTGCATTTTGACCCGGGTCCCCATTGTGACACCATATGTGACTATGGCCAGTTCCTTGCAAATGAGGGGGATAGTGAAATGGGCAGATCAGTGGTTGCAATGGTGGCCAAATCATATTGCTGCATGAATGCAGAAATTATATTATGTTTATTTTATTACTCTATCCACTTTATTATTTTTATTCTGAAAGCCAAGCTGTCACTGACCTGCCCATTTATTTTGCCCGACACTTTCCATGGCACACAGTGGGGAGTGCATTTCCTCAGTCACAGGAATCTCTGTCATGGGTTTGCAAAGCATCATTTCTCACGTTGCTTTCCTCCCTTAGGAATAATTTGGCAGCCAGCTGAAACAATCACTGAACATGTTATGGTTGTATTACGGCTGGATTGCTATCTCCAGCAAGGCCAAGGGTTCTTTTTCCTCTGCTGTTGCTCCCAGAGGGGCCGCTTGGAGCAGAAGTTCTTCAGCTTCCTATGGAGGAAGGAGAAAGGGAGCCTAGCTGGGTTGGGTTGGGCTGGGTGGAGGTCTTCTGCCCCACATGATTATGACCTGGAATTCAGGAACTGGACTCTACTGGTATCCCTCTCCGGGATACCAACCTCTGAATCCTGCCACTTTATAGAGATGGTGCAGTAACTTGAATGATACCAGAGTATACTGCAAGATTAAGAATTCAACCTGCTATGGATGCACACTAAGGAGTTTGTGACAGTTGTGTATAATAGGTTTTATTATTATCCTTTCCATTAAAATGAACACCATAGAAATTACAATTAAATTACCCCCCAGTCAGCACCCCACAATACATCGGCAATGTGTAGGGGGTGCATGTGGGTGCATGCACACCCCCTGGAAGTGCCAGCCATGAAACCAGAAGTGCTGGCAGAAGTACACTTCCGGTTTTGCCAGTTTTGCCCCTGACTCAGTGATCCTGCTGGGATGACCTTCTCTCCCACCCCCGTGCCAGCGATTGGCCGCTGGGGGACCCCCCCCCACCTCAGTCAGCAATCTGGTGCCTCCCCAGATTCAGGAGGCACCAGATTCAGGAGGCATATTGATTAAGTTGCAGAACCAAGCCCTTGGAAATTGAGAGATGCCTGAATTACACATTGTCTGTGCTACCATAACTTGACCCCTTGTGTCCTCTCTTTAATTACAGAGTCATATCAGGCTAAGTCCTATTTCACTTTATGTGCTTAAATGGCACCCATACATAGCTGCGTAACTGCAATTTTTGGCATTATGCTGAGCTGGGGGGGCAAGGTGGGGGAGGAGGGAGGGCACAGGGAGGAGGCAGTGTATAGCTAGGTTTTCTTAGTTAATCCCAAATGCTGGCAGCTGCCTCTGGCTTCAACTTGGTGTCTAAAGTTAGTCCCAAGTGCTGGCAGCTGGGTCTGGCTTCAATTTAGGACTAAAGTTAGTCCCAAGGGCTGACAGCCATGTGGTCGGATCTTCCCTGGTGGCTACAAGGGCACATGGCAAGCTGCTCTGATTTGGGATTACACATGGTCCCTGTTCACCTCCACATGTAAGATGCCAGCCTATTCCTGCTTACTGTGTAGTAAATTTAAGCTGGCATAAATGCATGCGTAGACATGCCCACTGAAGGGTAAATATTTACGCTAAAATGCAAATGAAAATAAAACCAGATAAATAAAATAATTAAAATAATAAAGACAAATGTAATAAAATGAGGACAGAAAAATAAGAATTAAACAGTGGTTCTAGTCATCTAAGGTGCTAGTGGAGTATATTAAAATCCAGTTTACCATTCTAATTGCCAATTATCCCTTTAATTTCCAGGTTCATGTTTAGCTATTATGAAGCACATGCACCTGTACAGTCATCATCACAGTGGGCTTCTCTGGAGCATTGTTCCAGCCAGCCAATCATGGGGGTCTCAGATGTTGCTTACCTCATTTAAATGCCTGCCTCTATATATAAGTAGAGCAGGGGACGTTCAGTGGTATTTGTAGGCAAGGGGGTGTGGTTGAGCTGAGCTCAACAGAGCAGAGCAAAGCGGAGCAGAACCAAACGGAGCAATGGCTGCTGCCCAAAGAAGAAGGAAGAAGACCCAGCATCAGCAGAAAACGAGTCCCCGTGGGAGATCTCCTGCCAAGCAGAGGCCCCAACGTAAGCAGAACAGACACACAAGGAGGAAGCCAGCATTAAAGAGAAGCAGCCATGGGAAGAAAAGCTCCTTCAATTCATGTTCCTCTAAGATGCTGAAACAGCTGAGGTGGGGCAACCGGAGCTTGTCATCCAGAGCCAAAGGGCTGATGATCAACTTTATGAATGACATCTACAAAAGAGTGTCCATGGAAGCTGAACGCCTGAGGAAGCAGAGCCATCGCTCCACCATCGGCCCCACACAGATGCAAGCTGCTCTGCGGGAAGTAATGCTCTCTAGGATGTCTAATTAAAGAACCATCACTCCCTCCCTCTTCCCCCAGAGCCCATCCTGGCTGGAATGAGAGCAAGAACAAGTGAGAGGAGCACAAGCCAGCCAAAGAGACCTCTTCATTCACCTGATTCAAGATCTAACATTGCCTTAAAAATGCCAGTTACAAAACCTGCCCGCTGCCTCTTGGTTGAGGGACCCGCTTCACAAACAGCCATCCTTCATGAGAGATACCACGTGGAGGACTGAATCAGTCTCTCTGACTGTAAAAGAGAAGCTCCCAAGGCTGATTAATGATTTGATGGATTAAAAATGTTGTATGCGAGGCACTTTCCTGAGAGACATGAAACTGTTGTCTTGGCATTCTAATAAAATACAATTTAGCAACATTTTTCAGTCTTACATATTTCATTTAACTTAGGGAATATACGTGTTAAAAATGCTAATATGTCATACACATTAAACAAGAAGATTGAGATGATGAATTTGTGTGGGAGCCCAGACAGGTTCATTACAATCCTTTGGGACTTCCCAGAGCATGAAGAGGAGAAACATTCTCAGTCACTTTCCTTTGGCTCATGTTGGGTACCGTAGAGCCAACCTAGTCATTCCTGACCAAGAGACAGAATCGCTTGTGCGTGGTCCCTTGACTTTTGTGTGTTAAATCAAAATATTTATGCAGAGATATCAATTCCATTCCTAGGCTATGCCTAGCTTTTAAGTCAGACTAAAGATTTACAGCAGCATTTAGTTACTTAAAGATGTATATGGGCTTAACTTCCATTGACTTTTGGTGGGGGTTCAGTGCCAAAACTATACAGTCACTTTTAAACCTCCCTCAGGCATCTATCTGTGTATTTAGAGACCTAAATATCATTGTGAATCTAGCTTCAAATCCTGGTACTAGGAATATTTTAGATATAACTGAAAAGAGCTAACTGCACCCTTCTCAGAATCCTTTTCCAGAAAGGGACGGTTTGAGTTCGGGCAAAAACAGACAAATTTTGATGAAAAGAGCTGGTTCCTGGGCCAAGAGCCTTTAGGTACCCTGCCCTTACCAAGGGATGTAGGAAAAGGTTGGGCAAGGAATTCATTTTTCCAGGTGCTTGCATAAGGTTGCTCTGAGCATTGCTTTATTACCAAGTTTGGTAGAAACTGGGTTCATCTACGGCGATGTAGCTCGTCGCTACAGTGACATGGCATTGGCAGGCACTAACTGTGACACTGCCACTACTGTGCGGCGGCGGTGAGCTGCAGCGTAGTAGCTCCATTGCTACTGCGCAGTAGTGTAAAAAATGACCCATGTGTCGCTGGGACTGTGCAGGACCAGCGGGTACTGCTCAGTCATTTAGTACTTACTAAAGCAAGTACTAAATGACTGCTGAGTACCAACTGTGCAGTCAGGGACATGTATAGAAGTGCCCACTCAGCCAAAATGTTTTGGTTCTGACAATCCTGCTCAAGATCACTGCTCCTTGGCCTCTAGTGTTAGGCAGAATGTCAGGTTGGATGATCGGGTTGTTCCATTATGGCCTGAATGCCTGTGCCTGGGGCTGAATCATCCATGATTGCTCAAGTCCGTCAAAAAATCTCAGACTGGTCCAGTGCCAAGGCTGCACGGTTTCACAATGCAGCAAAACACTTTGGCACTTGCTTTAATTCAGATTAGGAAGCAGTAACTTTAGCATACGAGTGAGAGTCCTGCTACAATGAGCACTAAGTACCTTAAACACTAAGTACCTTAAATAACTAGACTCAATTTCATTAGAAGGGACTTTGGAAGCAAGTCCAAATTATTCCTTGGGTGTGATATTAATCCGACTGGTAAGAATGTAAGTTTTGTACATCACTTAAACTCCTTACAGGCCACAAATAAGCATTTTAAACAACCAGTTAATTATATAGGACTCCCCAGAGAGGTGAATCAGCTATAATCCTGTTATATTTTCAAAAAGCAATGCATGGGGCTACTTGTTTAAAAGTGATTATATTGAAATAAGGCTGAGAAGTAGCTGCAGTTTAAAAAGGTACTATGGAGCTTCCTTAGAGCAACTCCAATGGGAACACGAAGATGAGGGGAAAATATGAAAAAATGTTTTGCCTACTTAAAAAATATCAATTTAATTTAAACTAGACTATCCAGGGGTCAAAAACACCCATGGAAAAAAAGGGAGCAATGCACACCTGGGCAGCATGCCTTTGCAGTGTGGAGAACACCTGACTGCATGGTATGTGGCGCTGCAGACATGCTTGCAATGCCACATGCCATGTGGCTGTACTTGTCTGGATGAACCCACT